GGGGGGGGCGGCGCCGTCGTTGGCCTTGTGACCGAAACATTCGAACAGACAGACCGTACCATACCTGTTGAGCCTCCGACAGCTTCCCCTTTGCGTTGTACACCGAAACTCTCACAAAGAACAGCTGTTCCACGACCCTATCAATAGTCATCGTTCCAAGCGGAGGGGGCGCTCCATGGGCGCCGTCCGCACCGCCTTCTCCTCCCGGTCCCCCGGCCTCCACCTCGCCTATCCCTCTCCCGCCCCCTCCGCCCGCCCCCACAACATGGCCGATCCTGCTCCCCCAACGGGTCATCGTAGACTTCGCGTAGCCCGGCTTGTTCAGCGTATCGCGCACTCCCGTGCCACCAGGACGTCCTCCTACGCTTGGGGGGGCTTGAGAAAAAATACCGAAGGGAGGAGATGTAAGAACAATTTGCCTGAGAGCCCAATTCTGACTTCGAGCTTTCAGCAAAGAGAGAGGAGGAGCTGTTTCCGATGCATGAGGGCTGGACTCAAATCGAATTGTTACCACAGCGAATGACGACCGGAAAGAACTGCTCGCGCTTCCCCCTGAAAACGTTCACGTCGTGAAGGGGCACCATGTATCCGATACGTACATATATTTGGTACCCCGATACCCCTTTCGGGACGGACGAAGCACTTCGTGCGGGTGGTACCGCCGCTTCTGTAGACCAATGAAGCGCCATCGCGCGCGGGACTCACTCTCTAGAGTTGAGTATTCTTACGGCTGAATACGGGGGGATCTTGTGACGCCGCCCACAATTCGTTCTGTACTGATGTGAGCATGCGCATCCATCGGGCGTTATTGCTTAAGTGAGGGTTGAAAGATTTACGGACGAAACCAACATGCAGAACATCAAGGAACCATTCGAAAATCACGGGTCCCTGTGGCCATTTGCATGTCGAACGGATCTCGACTGACAGACGCAGCGTCTTTTTGTTCGGTTTCGCCATGGCGCCCTACATCTTGGTTGCGGCATGGGCTTACTACCGCCGCTTCGCCTCCCCAGTTGTCGGTTTGGTTGACGTCCGTCATAGGTACTACTTTGGTCAGCGGGGCTGATGGATCATGTTCAGCAAAAAAAATGTTTTGCCACCCCGTCGGTCAGCTCTTCATCGCGAACGTCTTCGTACTGGGTACGGGTGGAATTGGCGGAGACCACAAACGTTCATTGCTTGGGATCGATATGTTGACTGTACTAAGGGTCGGGCACGTGTACTGCGGCGACACTACTGTGCTTGCCTAACCCAACTGCCACCAATCAATGTACAGGAGGCAAGCGAACAAATATGGCCTACCCGCCAGAGCCTGTCCTTCATTGCCAAACCTGCTGCAATAAGCTTTCGCCATCGATGCGGATACGGCAATTATCAACATTTTCGTTTTCTACCGATGGCCCTGTTGCTGCACATTTCAACGCCTACAATATAGCAATAAGGCAACCCCCAAGCCGAAGTCTCCCCGTGTGCCGTGTACTGTACGCCTACCGTCAAAGTTAAAGGTCTTCGTCATGGCCGAGAACGCTCCGACGTTTGGGGTGGGCGTGGTGAGGTCCATGACGGCGTTGTGCTTCGAGGATGGGAAAGTGGTCTTCTCGATGAAGAACGACACGTACGTGAAGCCGAACAGTTTCTCGGGGGGGGATAGGAGTGGGTTGTTTGCCGTCACCCCTGCGGATGACACCTGCTCGATGAGGTCCATTCCCTGTCCTTGTTCCAACACTTGGGTAATCTGGCGAGCACGTGTCGGTGTGCACGGGGAAGGGTACAAGTAGGGAGTATGTATTCGATGGGCGCACAGGGTTTGATGGGCGTACCGAAGTGGTGCCGGAAATAATGCCGTGTTGTAGGTGCCAACCCCTTGAACCGGCATTTTAGCGGGCGGCCGGCATTGTTCAGAGTATGAAGCAACAACATTCTATCTGTGCCAGACGATTTCACCGGCTTGTGCCGGGACCACTGCTGCCCCATGGAAAAATGTGCGTTTTCAAAGCTCAAGCACAGAGGTAGACTTGGGGACTGTCGGTGTTGAGCTGTAGGGTATCTGCAACTAGGAAACGTTTAGAGTGTCACCAACTCTGGGCGATTCTTGCTCGATGGCGTCCTCGCTTCCATTTTGACTACTATCACATCAGGGTGACCTGGCAATGTGATGTGGGAAACGACACACGTTTTGGGATTGCTTGTGTAGTGATGCCCGTGGATAGATGGGAAGAACACAACAAACACTCTGACCATGAATGCCGAGAGGGCACGGCAATAGACTTGGCATCCCTTTGTGGGTGGAATAACGGCATACCTTATTGTGAATCGATTGCGACGCGGATTTCGGTGCTTTCTGCACGCTTCATTGAGTGCGGAATACAAGTTCAATACAACGTGGCTCCGGCGCGACCATTTGCCAGCGGCAGCCGTGGAAATTTGTGCTCTCCAGCGGAACCGTGGGTGCCTTGGTACGTGCAAACAGCATGGTGTGATGCCCCGCCTCGCGCGGAGATATCACTACGCCCCCCGTAGAACACGATCTAACTCGACTTCTATCGGTGGTTACCGTCAAACCTGAAAAGCCGTTGCCTGGGTGTAGTATTGTGTGGCGATGTTGTACAACGTTGTTACCAACAAACGCCAGACATCCGTAAGGGGGTTGAAGTTGCACTCAGTATCATGCAGTTACGTAGTCTTCAGTGCGCGTCCACCGTTGGCCGAAAATGCAACGGTAGGAGGAACGTTTTTTTTCACCATGGAAAGGTCCATGCTGGCCATCCAGTGAACTTAAACATTTGACCGTCGTCCCTGTGGCTACTAACCGCTCCAAGGTTCGTAATCTAACCCATTGGTGCAGCGATCGATCATGCTACTGCCGCGACACGAGCAAAGTCATAGTTCCGGTAAGCTGTCACCACGCGTGTCCGCTCTCCGACTTCACGGCTTGTGTGGCGTTACTCTGAATTTTGGTTTGAACAACCCCTTCGAGTGCGCTACATTTTTTTCGTACCACGGACCGCCCATCGCAGGGGCGCTTGAGGTTGACGTCGCCTCCCTTCCGCTCGAGAGTAAACACGACCGCCGGGTTGTCGTACTCCATGGCCACGTGCAGCGCGGTCTGGCCCGAGTTATCCGGCCCATTGGGGTCCGCCCCGCTCTCGATCAGCCAGGCTGCCAAACGCTACAACGTTCGTTTTTGTTTGGGGAACCCACGAGTTGTCATTTTGTTTCATTGTTAGGGGGGCGAGGAGCCGTCAGCGGGGGAGATGGGTGCAAGTGTTACGTTGAACGGATGTTCTAATGTGTTCTTCGCTGTCTTGATTTGCCTCGACTTCTAATAACTAATATTCAACAATCGAGCCGGGCGGGGGATCCATGCTTGCGCCGGCCACGAGGCTTTCGCTTGCGTGGGATGTGAACCAGTGAAGTACTCTACCGCGCGGCGCGAGCGGGTGTCTTGTGTGCGCGGTGACACAGGGTCCATAGACATCCGTGGACTCGCGGGTTTGTGATTTTCAGCCAGGACTCCGTGGCAGCGTTTGTACCTTGTAATGGTAGCATTGTCTAATTTCACAGTCAGCACTATCTCATCATGTAGGCAAGACTCGACCACTTGTGTGTCGATTCATTTATTTCGTTCCGGCATTTGCACTGTATCACGACTCGAGGTTGAAAAACAAAGCAAAGGAGGTGTTTCCATCTACATAATGACCAGAGAAACCTCGAGGTCAACAAAGAAACCGACGTGTTTCGTCAGTGCTTTGTAGGGGCGAGGGGGTCAATGATGTGCAAACAATATTTTCGGTCATCCGATTAGCACAAGTCTTTTCCCAACGACGCACCTGCATAGACACGATGGACGTCCTCCCGGACAGCGTTGGTGGTCCTTGTCGCCCTCCCGTGAGGCGCCTCCCGGTGCCCGCGAAGTCCACAAGGCTTGCCCTCGCGAGCGCGTGTAGGGGGGTCTCGCCCTTGCTGTTGCGCAAACGGGCCAGTTGCGCACGGCGCTCGACGTCGACGTAGACTAGGGGTTCCCTGTTTCAAGAGACGTCAGAATGGTAACGCCTCGGCCATTAATTCGGATGTGTTGTATGCTGAGATCTACACCCGCCGAATCAGATGTTTTCCGGCAGAACAAACAGGATACTGCACATGCGGTGGGAGTAAGGGGCTTGCCACAACGGGGGGCGCGCGCGCGGAGCAACAACCAAAAATGCCGGAGCCGGCGGTGTGTTGCGAAAGCACTACAGTAGCAGAAACTTGAAGGTGGGCCTGGCGTGTGGTTCTTCACCGTCAAATGCTTCAGAGGGGCGTTCACGTTTCGTATCAATTCTCGAACCTGCGCTTGTCGTTCCTGAACTGATACAGAGCGACGACGACTCGCAAGGGCACCAGCCATTGCTGCAGCTCTCCCTCTCCTGCACAAGAAAAGTGCAGCCTGCGGCATCGTTTGTGGATGGGATATTCTTGTTGCACAATCGAACGAGAAGTTGGCCACCAAGAGGGATAGTCTAGACTAGACGCCTTACACGCGCGACGCAGGGGCTGAGTCGTTCGGAAATAGCGACCCGAGAAGAAACTGGGCATGGGAGAAAACCATGAAAATAGCAAGTGCTATGTGAGCCGCTGGGATGAAAGTGGTACCTGCAGTTACACGGCGCGCTTGGTATATCTTGTCGTATCAGCGGCGGAGCCCACGTACTTGATTCTTCACTATTGACATGAGTTTGGCACGTGCGGTTTCGGATGTTTTTTTCTTGTGGATGAGGTCGGGACCTCGTTATCCTCTTACGAGTGTTCTGGTAGGTTTCTTCCATAGACCATGCTACATGTTCACATAGTTTTGACCCCATCGTTGAAGTCGGCCATCCTTCGTTTTTATGTGTGACTACACCAACTCATTATCAACTGTATCAGAGAAGTAACTTTGGCAGGCGCGAAGGAGACACATGGGAGCGCTCTGCCACCCGACGTGAAAGTGTATCATCAAGTACAATCGCAACAGCAACAGCAACAGCAGCAACAGCAGCATTTCCGAGTGGTGCTCGTACACAAACTGACCTCCCTTCCTTGTTCCTCCTGTCGAGGAGGTCGGGCGTGTGAATCTCGAAGGCAAAGTCCACCTTTTCGGACTTCTTCAGCATGGCCTTGTCCAGCTGCAAAATGAGTATGCCAATTCGTCGCTCGTCATCATCGGGTGCATTTGAGCAAGAAAGCTCGGTATCGGCGGAATACCCCGAAAAGTGCGTTAAGTGGGGGGCTATACTATTGATTGACCCCTGTTTGTGAGTACACAGCACGCCTGTGGCAGGCTGTGTACGCGAGAATACTCGGTGGTCTACACCAGAGCCCTGGATAGCCATGCCGGATACCACCCATTCATAAATTGTGTGGTTGTTTTACTCTGACCGCTAATGATAGATACTGTAGTTTTGATTTTCGTGGGTATTTTTTAGTTTTTGTTTCTGGGGACACAATATAGTCTGTGGACTCTCTGGCCATTACTCTTCATCAAGATATACTGCGTTCATCAAAGATCTTGACCTCCGTAAGGACGCACACCAGGCTCTACAATTCCCTTTCATCTGCGGCCCCGGCTTCGTCTCAGAGAAAGAAAACAAAAAATATCTGTATTTCACTTCCACTTGAACGAAGAATGCATCATTGCACCACTGCACATACCGACCACTGGATGCAGCACTTCCTATATTTCTGTGCATCCTCGCTCTCTTCACACAGCGAAAAAACTCACCTTGATGATCTTGGAAGGGCTTTCGTCGGTGGGCTTGTGAAAGTACATGAGACTCGTCTCTGTTAACACGCACCAGCGCTTCAACCAGCGGTCTGTTTCTCGACGCTTCCGCAGATATCCGGACCTGACACACCCGCCATCAGCATATCAATACCGCGGCAAACAGCTTCTCCACGGCAAAACCGTGCCAGAGCGGCTGGGTTGACTCCTTATACTGCTCCATTTGAGCAGTGAGAATGAAATATTACAATAAGAACATCACTCCTATCCCGGTTCTTCGGAGGCAAACTATTTGCACGAACAGGTGCGAGGAAGTCGTCGGAGAATATCAGACAGCTGGTCAAACTGCTGTACACGATTTCATCCAAGAATGAAGGATAAAGTGTGCAGAGGTGAGGATTTCGAGAGCGGCACCTGACCCCGTTAGGAAGCTCAAATGGTTTGGTCTTCTTCGGGCTCGATGAAAAAGGTCAACCTCATTCTTCCTCAGAAATACTATTGCATGGATGGATGCTTGAACGAGTTTTGCGCGTCTTGCTTCTTTGGGTAGTACGACGTGGTTAGCGTCTAGTGCAAATAGCAACAACGCCTCGTGACTGTAGCAAGACCTACGCGGGTGTGGCTCTCAATAGGACACTCCCTACATCCCCCCTTGCCGGGTTCTGAACAACATTAGATGATGCACTTTTGCCGCATTGCCTGTTTTATGACACTCGACTACGTGATCCCGCAGACGACCCTAACAGGCATGCCGACGCGGCTCGTTTCAGAGAGTCACGAAACAGAAACATTCATACATACTTTCCACATTGCGGGCAGAAAAAAATGAGTGCACTCGTGTTCGAATGAATCATGTTCTACACGGCGAGAGAAAAACATCTGGAACAGCTCTCACATTAGACGGTGCTTCGCCTTTAGGGAGGCGGGGCCACTGTTCGCCGCCCTCACATCCCTGGAGCCCCCGGCGTTGGCCTCTGCCGCCCACCTCGCTCGCTCCAGCCTGGCCGCCCAAAACACGTTTACGCTAGTGCCCACCTATAGCGGTTAACATCGATCGGTGCCCCATAGTCGACGATGAAGATGTATATGCTAGGAAATTTTCACAGTAGGTGTGATGTGGGCAAGTAGTGGCACAAGTCAGCAGCAACAGCAACGAAAATATTGTGCGGACGATTAAAGGCAGTATTGACGAAAACCACGGCCCACCTGTCTCCTGCTGAGGCGCTCTGCATGCTCGGACCGGTCCTTCTCTTCCACTAGCGCTTTGTCCACGTCCACGTTGTTCCGCTTGGCCAGGTACTGGCACGACCAGCGTCAACAAGAGAGCGTTTCGTGTGAAATTGATCATTGCATAGACAACGGCGCATGCACAGACAAATCCACACATTTCCAGCCGCCCAAGTACTTTGACAATACAACACATTTTTCTCTTGGTACTGGTGCGTCGTTCCGAATACCGTCTAACAGCCGGTCGACGCGTTCAACTCTTGCAATTGGGATTATCTCATTCCCCATTAGTTCTGATAAAACAAACTGTGAAACGCGTGTCTCGGTTCTCGAGGAGGGTCCTATTCTCCGATTGGGCACATCTCACCGGTTTGACGGCTCTCCGAATTTGCCGACTGGACTATTTGTCCAAACTGGTTGAGGTAGTGGTGGATAATTAGCTGGATGTGGAAGGACATCTTGTTTTCCACGGGGAAAATACGTTTAGTTTGACCTATAAAAAGCGGCGAAGGTCCTTTCCGTGTATCCTCAGAGGGCCGTCTTTCTGTTGCTGCTACTCTTCGAAAACATGACAATTTTTGTGGGACACTTCACTTGTCCTTGAAGTCAAGGCCGTCTCGATGGCTTTTCCTCTCGAGCTGTCGTGCTCCAACCCTAACTCCACAAACTGTTCCACCTCTCTCTGCCCTCCACATATATTTGGTGTTACTGGAAAACAGGTACTCGTGGGTGATGCCGAACGTTTCTCCATGGGTCGAGCACAATATTCACCGACGCAAACACATGTACCTAAGGATAGCGCGAAGCTGGTTGGCGTGAGAGAAACAACATACATGTATTTCCCTTACTGCCGTTGTTGGTGTGCCCCGCAACTCATGTAAGGACGTAAACTACACCAGACCACCCGGTCAACGGTTGACCTGAAACGCGACTGAAACACCGCAACAATAAAAAATAGAATAAGGTGCCGTGATGCATACCTTGACAAGCTCGTAGTCCGCAGCAGAGGAAGCTACGTGTACACTGGAGTTTCCCTCGGTATCCACGGCGGTCACATCTTCGGGAAACGCCTCGAGAAGAGCGACCACATCCATCACTCCAGACTATTAGCAGATGCATGCAGACGGGGGGCGACAGCAGGAACGCTTTGGGGAGGGAGAAGAACGAACTTGCTACTTGCTTTGCTCTGTACGCCATCGATCACGCCGTTGGCACGGGGCAACCCGATGTGCGTGGGCATGTTGCCGGGCGGGGGGGCAGGTAGTCGTCCAAAACGACACCCATTTAGAACCATCCCCAGCGTAAACAGATGAAAACCAACAAAACCGGTTCCACAAGTATTGGAGCCGCAGCAGCAGCAACAGCAAACCCGAAAAGAGAGGTTGTCAATCGAGGGATACGTTTCAAAAACGCACCTCGCATGCAGCATGCAGCAGGGTAGGGAAGCACCGGGAAGGCCTGATGGAAGCTGGCGTGTTGCTATCTCCTGCCTCGGTGTCTTCCTCATCACGACTGTCCCCGTCACCACCGCCGTGCGGAAAGGTCTCGTCCACGCCGGAACTCCCATAACGGTCTCGGACGTACAAGAGCTGCGGGAACTCGGTAATAATCTTGGTCACCTGCAGGACAGAAGAAGTAGGATAGGTCAAGCAGTACGCGCCGCCTCCAAATAAATCTGGGGGTCGAGAACTTTAGGAAAAACAAAATTCCAACCCTTACATTACCATACGACGCTCAGCTAAGAATCCTACCGACAACCTTCGGTTACGCCACGGAGGAAAAAGGAAACGAGCTTGTGGCAAATCGAGAGCTTCTCAAGTGGTGGCGGCTTCTGCATAGAGTGAGTGCTTCCGGCGAGCACTTCATGAGAGAATAATTGGAGCCGTGGTTCATCATTCAATCGCCAACCGTGGCCTGATGAGACCGTCAACAACAGGAAGAAGAGCATAATCATCAACATCGGCGAAAGCAGTAACCACAAGAACAAGAGAAGTGCAACAATACCGCACCAACCTCAGCAAGGCAGAAATTTTGGGCCGTGGTTTCTGCAAGAAAAAGCGTCATACCTTTCAGAGCATTCGACCCTCTACTACTACCGCCTTCCGCCTGCACCGCAAGGGCACGACCAATAGTCTAACACCCAAAGAACGGCGAATTTTTCTCCCATTACGAGAATTAAGGATAGCGTGTACGGCCCGCCAGCGTAGTAAGCCCTGTGACGAACAGCTCCTTGCCCGACCTCCCGATAATGCCAAGGTTGCCACGGCTGAGATACATCAACTTGAAACGCAATAAGCACTACCTTTGCGCATGTACCGCCCCCGCCAATACACCCCACGTTGGCTACGACATCTTTCACACACCCTCTGAGATTCCAAACACCGCACCTACCTGTGTTTTGTGCCAGGGACTTTCGTGCCCAAAGTTTTGCAGATGACCCGGGGCAAGCGTAGCATTAGTCCAGGAGGGGGCAATGAAATACACATCTCTATCCACTCGCTAGGGTAAGCTGAACATCCGAAAATGGAAGGATCACGTAACGAGGGAACCGTACCTCGCGCACATCTCCCCTCCTTGCCGCACCGAAAACGCCAAGAACACTCTTACGCAGGCTGTTATTCCGCAGCCACGCCCGGATGCAAAGCTGTAGCCTTGGCGCCAACAGCACCTAGTCAGGATGTGAGCGACAAAATGAGTGACGAGCACCATTCCGGATCACACCAGCAGAGCAGAGGGGCGGAAACACGCGTAGCATGGTTCATATCCCGACAGGTGTGTAGGTTGAGGAATTGAAAAAGTCACACGAGATAAATCGCACAAGAAAACCGGCAGACGTGCGTGGTGCTTGCTCCCCTCTTTCTGAAGTGATGGCCGGCGCGACGGTACCTGATTTCTCCATTTGCCCTAGAATTTCGCATTCTTTTTTTTGCGCTTTTGCTGAGTTGTCGGCATCGCGGAGGAAAGAATGAGTTCTCCGGAATGCAGCTACGGTAAATCTTCTAATGAACTCGCACAATATTTCCACATTCGCCACCGAAGAAGGTTACATTGTGGACGCTTCCGTGAGTTCTCCGGAATGCAGCTACGGTGAATCTTCTAATGGACTCGGACACCATCATTGAGGGCTGGGGTGGCTGCGGTGGTTCAGACGCCTTTAGCAACCGGGTTGAAGCACAACCCGGGGGTTTCCACAAGAGTCCGTCGGCTGCGTGTGCCGAACCTGTTTCAAGAAGATGCTCCTCTTGGTGAAGCCCCGCAGCAGCGCCTGGATGCGGACTACCCGCCCGCGTGCCGTGGCATAGCGACGCCGAGCTAGCATCCCCCGGATCAGTCCCTGCCGTGTCGTGTTGCGTAGAATACTGTATTCACTTGCGTGCAAAAATCCGTGGAACTATCCTGCCTACCATACAGGTTTTTGTCGCGAGGCTTTGGGTTGTCGCTTGCTGCGTGCGAGCCTGGACAGGTCGAAGTACACGCGTTGCATGCATGAATAACAAATACGAATGAACCGAGTTTCAGTGCATACAAACACATGCCTCTTATCAACTCGGTCGTCCCGTGAAGAAACAAAATCGGTGGATTCGTCGTTGAACTTTTGGGTTTTCACATTTTCCATTGCCCCCACCCTCTCCCCTCCAATCGTATCGGGTGCAGAGTATCCCCCTCCCAGGGAAAACTGTCAGACCGATCTGTTTCTGATAGATGCTCTCTCTCCAACTGTAATGTATGCCTCTACCTTCTCTTTCCCCGCCTCCCCTTTCTCCAACCCGCCTCCCCCACTGTTTCTCGCCTGCAAGATTGTTACGTTGTCGACGGCCTGCTTCCTGTATACTTCGGCCGAGCGCATCCGCCACGCAGATGCAAGGATAGTCGACGCCCGCCGCGCACGGGTGCGGGCTTGCCCTGCCAGGAGCATTCGCGCCCAAGCCTGAAACGAGGGGACGGACGTTAAACGACAGAAACCCGGCCGGGGTGTTATTTTGGTTCGAAAGTGTTTTCAGGGTGGCTTCTTTTTTTCCCAGTGGAGTATTCTGTAACGACATTTTCGCGCACTTTAGAACTTCCGGGCTTAGCAAGCTCTTAGAGAAGCCCAGATTATTGTGAAGTTCCACCAGCAAGTCTCCCACTTTGAAGCGTTTTTAAATTGCAATAATCCATTCGACGATCGACAGTGTGTGAAATCCGCATTGTACTCACTTGCGTGCATGATTCACTGGAACTATCCTACCTACCACACAGGTTTTTGTCGGGAGGCTTTGGGTTGTCGCTTGCTGCGTGGGAGCTTGGACAGGTCGAAGTGCACGCCTTGCATACATAAAAAGCCAAATACGAATGAACCGAGTTTCCGTACACAAGAACATATGCTTCGGTATCAACGCAGACTTCCTGTGAAGAAACAAAATCGGTGGATTCGTCGTTGAACTTTTGGGTTTTCACTTCTTCCATTGCCCCCACCCGCTCCACTCCAATCGTATCGGGTGCAGGGCATCCCCCTCCCAGAGAAGGCTATCAGACCGATCTGTTTCTGATAGATGCTCTGTCTCCATCCGAATATGCGTGTCTCTGCCTTCTCTTTGCCCGCCTCCCCTTTCTCAACCCGCCTCCCCCACTGTTTCTCGCCTGCAAGATTGTTACGTTGTCGACGGCCTGCTTCTTGTATTCTACGGCCGAGCGCATCCGCCACGCAGAGGCAAGGGTAGTCGACGCCCGCCGCGCACGGGTGCGGGCTTGCCCTGCCAGGAGCATACGCGCCCAAGCCTGAAACGAGGGGACGGACGTTAAACGACAGAAACCCGGCCAGGGGCGTTATTTTGGTTCGAAAGTGTTTTCAGGGTGGCTTCTTTTTTCCCCAGTGGAGTATTCTGGAACGACACTTTCGCGCACTTCAGAACTTCCGGGCTTAGCAAGCTCTTAGAGAAGCCCAGATTATTGTGAAGTTCCACCAGCAAGTCTCCCACTTTGAAGTGTTTTTCCATGACAATCGACTGTGGGTGAAATCCACATTTTTTTCAAGGAACATCTAGGACATGTTTGGAACTCGTGGAAACCCTCTCGCCGATGGCGGCAACCTCCAAATACAGTGCAGTGGTTCGTTCTCGCCCCCAGAACCCGTTAGTGAGCTCAACGCGGAAATTTTCCCGCTAGGAAGGGGGGAGCCAATTTCACAATTTCACAGTGGGCCATTCCTACACGACGATGGAATTTGAAACGCTCACGAAACAATACAGAAACAAGTTTTCGTGGACTTGCCAGCAGCTCGAGATTTTCGTGAACTTGCCAGCTGCTGCTCGATGGCCCGGTGGCCCGATCAAACGCGTAAGTTACACAACCCCAAACAGCTGAAGAGGCCCTGGAACCTGTGAACATGTGAGCGACCGAACCCTATCAAATCCACAGGTGGCAAGCTCGCCTGCAACTCGGTGGCCCTGCGGCCTTCCAGGGTTCGCCTGGCTGCCCTAGAACTCTCAAACATCCTGCGGGCATTGTAGCCCCTCCAGCAAGCTTGCAGCACCGTCGAACCCACGGTCTGTCTTTCAAGCGTTTTCCTCTGCATCAGCCCCCTCGCCACCTTGGCGATCTGAACCTGGGCCGCGGCCCGCCTTCGCCTGCACGAACAGACGTAGTGCGAGGCGAACGGCAAGAACTTGGCTTAGACCTGGCTGGGCTGAAGGACTCCAGGGGACTAATACGACGCCGCCACTATTGCTCTTACTTTTAGCCAACGAGACAGGCCGAATATTACACCGTCCGACCAATTGGAATTTTGCTTCACCGCCAGATCTACCTCGTCTCTTCTGCCTGGCGCTCGGCCTCCCTCGCTCTTAGCTTCGCCCGTTCCCGAAGAGCGTTCCGCAGACGGTTCCGCGCGAGGAAGCTCCTCGCGGCCGCCTTCAACGACATTGATGCACGCAGCTTTCGGAAACGCCTTCGCTCGACGAAACCCCTCGCCGCAGACTGGAGGGAAAGCGTCGCGAACAGGGTTTTGGCCCTGCGGAGATCCGCGGCATATGCTCGCCAACGGGCCTGAAGGTATTGAGGTGTGTCGATGCACGGGCAAAGTGAAACTCGCGGTGTGACGGATGCTCACGAATGG